TGGCAGTCAAAAGTTTTCCACTTCTGCGCACGGAACCATCCTCCACGTGTAACCCTGTTTAGGTCGGCGAAATTCCTCAAACGTTGTTCACCAATGGGGCAAGATCAGCTCCGTATTATTCTGGACCACATCACGGCACACAAGAGTTCACCCGCGTAACACAACACCAACTCGACCGTCGCAAACCCTCCCCGCAATTTCTAATTAAAAAAACAACCAACCACCCAAATTAGAACAAAAATAAAAGAAAAACAACCAACAGTAGCAACCGTGCTTCCAAGTACGCATTTTTCCATTTAAAATTATTTATTTATTTAAAATCTCGTCGATTTTTATTACAAATTACAATCTTTTATATTTAACTTGCTCTGTATGTGCATATCGTGGCCTTAATTAACAGAGGCCCTAATCAACACTTTTTCGAAATTGCGTTTTTCGCAGATTTTAGTAGGAGGTATTAAAGTGCACCTTGAATAAAAATTTTGAAGTGTTATGCCTGATTTCCACTAAGCATTGAAATTGCAAAGGATTGGAGGCATTAAAAATGACATGTGGAAATAAATTTAGTTCTGCCATTTAATGCCTAGTGGAAATCCAGCATTAGTACCAAAAACAACGGAGTTACATGCCACTTTTAAAAAGCCCCTACCTGTTTTTGATACTCTTTTTATTATGTTTTTTTGCTTCTCCTGTAAAATACAAAAATTGTTGGTCAGCGCCTTTGTGAATTAAGGTAACGATATGTACATTCCCGTGGGCCGAAAATCCGCTTTTTTTGAACTTTGTTTGGTAATAGCAAAAATATGGTTAATTATGCTCTAAAAACAATCTGTGTGATAGATGATAATTTTTGGTCAATATCTTAGGCTTGCCCAAGTCCATCATATCTATGCATAGGTTACAAGGTCTGAAGCCCACCGTCACTGAACTGATTGGGCCTTATCAGTGCGGCTTTAGGCCTGGAAAATTCACCATATACCAGGTATTCACAATACGCAAAATCTTGGGAAGACCCGCGTGAAAAGGATCGACACTCACTACCTATTTATCGACTTTAAAGCCACTTTCGACAGCACTAAAAGGCGTTGCCTATACGCCGCTATGTCTGAATTTGGCATCCCCGCCAAACTGATACGGCTGTGTAAAATAACGTTGAGCAATACTACCAGCTTCGTCAGAATTGGGAAGCCCCCCCCGAGCCGTTCGCCGCCAAACGGGCTTTCAGACAGTTCGACTCGCTTTCATGTGACTTCTTTAACCTGATATTGGAGAAGATAATAAGAGCTGCAGAACTGAACCGCTCAGGAATAACTTACTATAAGAACGTGCAATCGCTGACTTATGCCGATGACAACGATATCATCAGTAACACAAATCGCGAAGTCTATTCTGCCTTTTCCAAGTTAGCTAAGGAAGCAAAGCGAATGGGTCTGGTAGTAAACGAGGACAAAACGAAGTATATCCTGTCATCATAAAACAGTCAGCACATTCGCGGCCTTGGCACCCACGTCCCTGTTGACAGTTATATTTCGATAAAGTATGTGTCAGCATGGAAATCTAACGCAGAATCACTCTGGCCAACAAGTGCTACTTTGGACTGAGTAGGCAATTCAGAAGTAAAGTCCTCTCTCGACGTACGAGAACTACACTTTATAAGTCACTCATCATGCCTGTGCTGGTATATGGCGCAGAAGCATGGACAATGACAACATCCGATGAGGCGGCTCTTGGGGTATTTGAGAGAAAGATTTTGCGGACGATTTACGGGCCTTTACGCGTTGGCGACGGCGAGTACCGCAGACGATGGAACGATGAGCTGTATGAGCTTTACAACGATATGGACATAGTGCAGCGAATTAAAATACAGCGGCTCCGCTGGCTTGGTCATGTCGTTCGAATGGACACCGACGCTNGACATAGTGCATCGAATTAAAATACTCCGCTAATGGCTCCGCTGGCTTGGCCATGTCGTTGGAATGGACACCGACGCTCCAGCTCTGAAAGTATTCAACTCGGAACCCGATGGTGGTAGCAGAGGAAGAGGGAGATAGAAAGGCCAGGTGGAGAAGAGCTTGGCTTCACTTGGCATTTCCAATTGGCGTCAGTTGGCACAGAAAAGAAACGACTGGCGTGCTTTGTTGAACTCGGCCAAAATCGCTTAGGCGGTTACAGCGCCAAATAAGAAGAAGAAACTTCTGAGTTGGATTCCCTTGGTCGGGTAAAACCGGAACGTAAAACCGGCTGTCGTGGGAATGAAGAAACACATAGACGAGACGGAGCTTCATCTGCCTCGGGAGACACGAACGACAATAGCCCAACTTCGCTTGGGCTACTGCAGCAGGTTAAACTCTTCCCTAAGTAGATTGAATGAGGATGTGCCAAATGAGTGTTCGGCATGCGGAGAGACCCCACATGACTCGAAACATCTCTTCGCATGCCCGGAAAACCCAACAACCCTAATGGCTTTGTCCTTGTGGACCGACCCGATAGAGGCTGCACGCTTCCTAGGGCTGCCGTTAGTGGAACTTGTTGAGATATCAACCGATCTGGGCGGGGTTGTTGTAGCCGCTACAATAACAACAACAACAACAACAACAAACCTGTGTTTATGGTCCGATTTCGTTCATATTTCGAAAACTTGNAAGAAACCTGTGTTTATGGTCCGATTTCGTTCATATTTCGAAAGCTTTTTTTTAAAGCATTTTTTTTTTTTTAATTGAACTTGTTTAAGTTATAGGTCTTCATACATATCTAGGGACTTTTGACGAAACAACTTCTCTCGAATGGGGCTATTTTCTCTTCAAAGCAGTAATTCATTGAGTTCTCGAATGATATTTTTATATATCATCATTAATAGGAGTAGTTCCAGATGCTATCTCAATGAAAGTTAAATAAAAAATTACAAATTTTTAAATGGAAGTCCCTTATAATTAAATCTAAAGTCCCACCTGCAGAAAGCACAGAGGTTGTTTTGTTAAAAGTCCACAGATATGTATGTACATTAGACTGCATCACCAGAAAAAGTAAGGGATTACAAAATTTATTATATCTTAAGACGTCCACCAAAATATTTCGGAAAAATGTTAATATTTACGTGAGCTGGACCGATTTGAAAATACCTCCTAAAATGGAGTTTTTATGAATAAAAATATGTAGTTTCTAAAAGAACTTTTTTAAAAAAAAAGTCCCCTCAAATGACAAAGCAGATTAAGCTTAAAAAATCTGCATAAAAATATTTAAAAATCTTTCCAACTTATAGGATCTCAGTAGATAAGTATTTTCCCACTATTTTTACTTAATTTAACAGTGAACGACGTTAGTTCATCCTACCTTTCTCTTTCAACCTTTGAATGAGTTTATTAGCAAAGAAATAAAAAAGGGTACGAAAATACCTTTCCACTGATACCTCACAAGTCTAAATCGGAAGAGTTTAGGTTCAGTTATTCAAGTTTTTCTTATACCAATCTTTAAAAAAAAAGTTAAAAAACCGCTTCAAAAATCTCATTATTACGATTCCGTTCAAAATCTTTTTTATTTTTTTAAAAATATTTTTATGCGACTTTTTTAAGCTTAAGCTTGAGGAGATTTTTTCAAAAAAAAAAATCTTTACGAAACATTTTTTATTCATAAAAAATCCATTTTTGGAGGTATTTGACGTCTTAAAATATAATCTAATATACAAAGATCTCGTGTCACGGTGGTAGTGGTCGAACACCTCCTAAACGGCTCGGCCGATCTTTATGAAATTTTTTGTGTATATATGATAGGTATGAGAATCGTATGTAAAGTATATTTCATACCAATAGGTGCAGGGGGCGTGGCCCCTGCCATAAAAACCGAATTTTTCATATTGCATACCTCTGAAAGTGTTCATGGTAGAGTACTCGAACATGGTATGGAGATATATGAATTTAATCCCATACTCTTAAAGAAAATTTGGGCTATTTTAAAAAGGGGCGTGGCACCTTTCAAACGCATTGAAACTATTACGTATCTTTGTATGCATATACACTTTTGCTAGGTTATTTAAGACGGCAATGGAAATATGCCTTCCACACAACCACCAAACCGTAATATTAGAAGATAAATGCATCACTGAAAATCATGAGCGTGAACTGTTGGTGAAAATGTTGGACCAAAATGTTTCCAATACAAATAATTTATTTTGGGCGGAACGAAGTTTGCCGTGTCTGCTAGTAGATTTTATAATTACAATGGAAACACAGTCCCGTTTTTTTTGTATGGAGAGTGATGCAGCCTAATGTACATATGCCTGTAGTATATTTAAAATAAAAAACTTAAAATGTCTCTAGTTATTTATAGCTAATTTATTTATGCATTCCTTGCAGCTTTCCGCTCATAATATCGTTGGACTGCCGCGTCAAAGAGTGCACCCACAGTACGTTTTTTCCATATCTCACTTTTATCTCTTTTGACTTTGGGCTTTACATCGACAGGTGCAGTGGACTCCGGGACTGATGACACTGCCTCATCTGTTTGGTTCATTTTATTTTCTTTTGCACAGTGGTTATCTGACTTTTCCTTCTTTAAGGCGTCCAAATTTATAGCTACTGAAGTGGCATTTGCTTCCGCTAATACTTCTTTTGTCTTCTGTGTTGGTTTCGCATCAACCTCTTTTTTCACATCGCTTTCGTCATCTGTCGCCGAGTCTATGCTGAAGTCGGAATCCGCATCAATATTATTTGTCAAATGCACCTTTTTGACTTCCGTATCGGCACCAGTCTCATCTTGTTCAAAATCTTCGGAACTACGACGCTTACGATAGCTACGCTGCTGCGGCGCCTTGCCGGATTTGATCGGTTTATATGCAACATCATCCTCGCCACCTGTTGAGGTAACAACAGGAAAGTCTGGTTTAATTACCTCCTTTGTCG